TCTTGCCAACTCCTTCAATTTTGGCCGTAGATGAATTTCCCATGAAGATTGTCTCGTTGGGTCCTGCGGGGGCATAAGAAGAACATAACTCGTTGTTAGCACAAACATGGCGGGTGGCTCCAGAATCTATCCACCATTCTTTTGGATTTCCTACCAAATTGTATTCAGACAACATGACACATAAGTCCTCCATTTCATCTTCAACCATGTTAGCTTGATTCTTTTTCTTCTATCATTCTTGGGCGCACAACAATCCACAGCCTTATGCCCAGATCTTCCACAATTGTGGCAATTACCCTTGAACTTTTTCTTGCTTGGGTAATTATTTGGTCCGGAAGCCTTCTTCCTCTTCTTATTTTGTGGCGCCTCCTCAACAACGTTTGCCCCCATTATTGTCGAGTTTCCACGTGACTTCTTTTCAGGATTTTTGTTGTCTTCTTCTATCCTCAAACGAACAATCAAGTCTTCTAGTATCATCTCCTTCCGCTTGTGTTTAAGATAGTTCTTAAAATCCTTCCACAACGGAGGTAACTTTTCAATGAAAGCAACGACTTGAAAGGCCTCATTTATGACCATACCTTCAATAACAAATTCATAATTAATAATAAGATAAATCTTATTAATAAAATTATTGATTCGGGTCATACCTTCAGCAAGGAGGTCATGCACAATGACTTGTAATTCTTGGACTTGAGTTATGACTGACCTAGTGTCAATCATCTTGAAATCCAAAAACCTTGCAGCCACGAACTTCTTAAGTCCGGCATCCTCAGTCTTGTACTTCTTCTCAAGTGCATTCCATAACGCTTTTGAAGTTTCCATGACACTATAGACATTGTACAAGCCATCTTCCAAACAACTCAATATGTAGTTTTTACACAAGAAATCAGAATGTTTCCATGCTTCAGTTACAACAAGTCGTTCATCATCCGGAGTATTCTCAGCCATAACCGGAGGATCCTCCTTGATGAAACGTTGCAAACTCAACGTAGTAAGATAGAAGAGCATCTTCATTTGCTAGCGTTTGAAGTCAATACCAGAAAACTTTCTGGGTTTTTCTGCCGGTGCCATAGCATGAGCAGGAGTAGAACGACTTGACGAGGCAACAACACTTGTAACAGTAGCACCCGTTCCCGCAATACTTCCATTAGTTTGGTTTTCATTCGTCATATTTCTGTAAAGTTGTAAACAATACAGAACTTGTTAAATCAGTGAAGTTTTGATATCTTCAAACTGAATACCAAACCAAACATACAACACGTAACAATGGTGAAGTTTTTATATACTTCAAATCCGTACGTTTATTATTCCGGCAAAGTTTTTATGTACTTTAAACCGGACAGAAACAATTATAGGAGTAGAAAGCAACAAGGCTTTAGTTTCCAACAAAGTATATAGAAAACAGTTTAATAATCAACACAGAAACGTTAGTAATAAAATTCCTTAAAACAAAACTGTGTTACAAAAACAAAATTGAAGATGAAGCAGGGAGATCACAAGCTTAAGGAATTTTACCGCGGCCAGAGAGGCTCTCTGAATCTGATTGCCGCGATTCTACCGCGGTCGCGGCTAGCGAGGCCCTCTGAACCTTCAGCAGGGTTCTGGCGTAGTTTCAGCAGTGATTTGACATTTAATTAATTATTAAATAATTAAATAAATTTTGTCCAAAAAATAATCTTATCGATCATTTTGCAAATCCGAAGCCGAAGCCGAGCGACGACGACGGCGCGAGGGTTCATTCTCTTCAACTCCTTTTAAGAGCTTTAAGAAGTGAATCTATATATAAGCACACAAATATGATTGTCCCTCACCAATGAGGGACAAAGTGCAAGACAAAAGTTCACTCCTTTAAATTTTCATTTTCCCTCCATTTTATTTTCCTCCATTTCCAATTCATACTTCTTCTACTTTAAAGCCCAATGGCTTAAAGTCCAACAATCCCCATGCTATATATATATTGCATTTCCTGTCGAAGCAGTTCAAGATTCAAAGTTATGGGTTGTGACGAGTCCTTGTTTTGGACTGAACCCACAATCTAATTTATTTATGGTATCGGGGTCAAAATCCATTTATGGAATGTACATATTTAGTAGATCCCATGTTTTAGTGCATATACAAAGTCTTACTGTATATATATGATACATTATTGGCTATAAGTAATATCATGACTGATGGGAAAATCAGATTCAGGTTTGTCAACACCGTCCTCGCTCCGGAGCCAATACGTTTGAGTAAGAGGCGCTGCACCATTTGGTATGTCATCAATCACTCTTTCGTGACCTTGTGGGAAATATATCCCTGTCCTGGGGTGAGGTACCCAACAAGATGATTTCTTCTTCTTCTTCTCCTTCTCCTGCAGTTCCGATCCGTATCTCTCCTCCACCCCTGCAAGCTTGCTCATCCGACGTCCCACTTCATGCAGCTGCAACCTGCATATACATATATAAGAATTCATACTCTCAACAAATCCTCATAAGGTAGGGGTAAGGTCTGCATACACACTACCCTCCCAGACCCCACGGTGTGGGATAGTACTGGGTATGTTGTTGTATACTCTCAACAAAAACTATGAAATCTAACATATGGATTCACCAAAGATCCCTCCCCCAGGCCCACGTATTCTAGTTGAGCTCTGCAGCTAAAGCTGTTCCACACCTTAACACTTCCCTATAATCTACGAACATGTAAATATGCTATGTACACATCTTTAACAAGCATTTGCAAAATATATAGATCATATACTTTAGCTAAGAAGATAGAACTTCTAATTAGAAACAAAAATAACCTAATCTGCGGTGATTTTCGGGGAAGCCTAGTGATTCCAGCTGCAGCCATGGCTTTGGTTTATGAAGGAAACTAAATCTATATCTGTACTAGTTTAATGTTTGTAGGAATTTATGATCTGTAAACAGGAGAATAAACAAACTATATATAGGGGTTACATATGTTCAAGAAGAATTAGATTCTATAGTACGTACTTCCATCGATCGAGTGGTGAAGGTTTTCATTAAAAGTTGAAAAATATTCAAAGGCAACTATAGATGAAAAATAGAAGCTACTTTTCCATATACCTACTTGCAAAATTTGTTTATTCTCGCAAAGCAGAGGCTGTTAATGCATGCATGTACACATGGCTACTATTTACTTCGAATAATTAGCATGTGGAGCTTTGAAAGTAGCAATAAAGACATTCATTTAGGAGACAAGTTATATCCAGTGACAAAAAAAAGTTTTAAGTTCATGCACTAGCTTTTAAAGTTTTTATACTTGGAAATATTTGTGGGTTAGTTATCATTATTATCAGGTTATCAATATGCTTCTTACAGAAATGTACTTAAAAATATTTTATAAGTGACTATAGTAAGAAATGTACTTAAAAATATTTTATAAGTGACTCAATTATATAAATAACTAGTTTACTTTGACGCTTCGCGGTCATACAAATAATTAAAATAAAGTTAAATATTAATGCCATTACTAATATAAAAGAATATTAATCTTTACTATGAAACATGTCATAAAAGATAGTCTATGAGAAACATTTTAGTTGAATATGAAAGGACCAATTTAAATCAGAGATGTACCCTTTTTTTTTCTCCCTCCAAGGTCTTTTTCTTATTCGTTTGTGATGTAGACTTAAGGTCCACCAAACTGTACAAAGAACCTGATTCTCTATCAATTCCCACTGAACACACATTCAACGATAAGTAAATGACATAACAGAGTTTTACGTGAAAAACTCCTAGTTCATGGGATTAAAACTCACGACCTACACTAGTAGAATTTCAACTTCACTAATTGAGCAGTCTTTAGATTAATAACTCTTGCAATCTGATTACAAACTCTTGCAATCTAGGAATTAACCTCTTAATCTCTTACCTACTTGTAATAACTCTATTAGAAGCCTCTTTGTAATAACTCGATTACAAAGCTCACACTTTGATTAACTCTAGCCAAAACACAAACACAAGGTTTATGGTTTTACAAATGATTTCCTATATAAAACTTCTAACTAAGCTGAGTAGGGATTACAAATAGATCACTCTAACAAAGTTTCAACAACACTAAGGATATATGGTAACACAATGCCGAAAACTGGTCCTTTGTTTTGTTGTTGCTTTGTTCTTGAAGTCACTCAAAATAGGCAGCACACTTTGAGAGAGAAGCTTGATGATTTCGAATGGTTCAAGTGTGTATTTTCCTTGCTTCATGTTGCTAATATACAAGTGGGGTCACTTGTATGGTGTAAGCAATAAACCTGTACAAGGCATGCTCCATAAAGTGACTGCTGCACTATTTTGCACTGTTGCATGTGTGTAGAGAAATAGTGCGACGACTTTACAACTATGAAGAGTTAACTTGTACTGTCAGCAAGGGAACTGATGTCCATCTGTTCCCTCTTCCGTTTTTTTGACTCAAGTTGATGTGATTCTTCGAGTTAGCAAAGAACCAACCGATCATGATCAAGATCTTGAAACGAAAACGTGATTTATGGGCTAATTTCAAGAAACATCGCATCTCATGTTTTAGGACTCAGAATCTGATGATTCAAAAATGAGGTGAAAGATGATGATATGAACTATAAAAAATTCTATTTACTCGTTCAAAATAAGTAAATATTGATGTTGCACCAGTTCAATGAAAGTTATGATTCTATGATATCAAAAGAACGAATTTTGATCAAGAAACGTGTTCTTGAAAGATCAAGAACTAAACAAGTTCCTAAAATCACCATTTGGAATCAATTAATGTGATAAAGAAACATATACGTAATTAAAAACAAGATAAAGACTATCACAACCTTGCTTGGAACTAAAAACAAGGATAAAGAAGACAAAATAGAGAAAAATACTCTATTGTAAAACTAGGGCAAGCCTAAAAAACATGAATTCTTTATTCTACAAGGCAAGAGAACCTTTTATATAGGCTTAGGTCTCTTCTCTGATGACTACAATTCCTATTCTAACAAGAAAATAAAATAACTAAAGACAAGGAAAGTAAAATCCCTATTCTACAAGGAAAGGAAACTAGAATCCTACTAAAAGGAAAATCCTTATTCTAAAAGAAATAAAATAAATCCTATTTTAAGAAGGAAATAATCTTGGCTTCTTGAAATCAATCTTGAGCTTCTTGGACTTCTTACGCTTCTTGAAAATAAGTCTATATATTTGGATTTGAGCTCTAAAATATTTTCTTGGCTAAAATTAATAAAATTTAACATATATTCTTCATTTTCATCATTCCCTGGTTGAGAAAGACTCGTCTTTGAGTCTAAAGACTCCACAAATGGCACAAGATTGACAACTTCCATGATTTGGTTGCACTCATATTCTCAGGCTCTAAGTTGTATTTTTCTAACCTATCTAAGAGCTTCATTGTGTTGTAACAAACTTTAGCATGTGGCCGAACTAAATTCCACTTTCTCAATTGTAACTTGGTACTAATATTTATGCAATAAATCTTCTTAAGTTGGACTAATCCATAATCAAAAGTTACTTTCTTTTGATCTTCAATAATTTTGAACTATTCCATGTCCATGTGGTGCTTATGGGATATGCTCAAAAAAATCGAGTAAGTACCACAAAAACCTTTAAAAGAATCAAATTCAAGTACCTTTGGATCAAGCTTGGAGATCGAAGTATATCTTCTTGAGAATTTATCAGCAACAACGCTCTATTAAACTAGATCATACCCATTGATGGAATTTGTTTCGAGATCTCCTGTTCCAACATATTCTTAAAAATATTCATCCTTTGGGGGAAGAAAAAAGGTGGAACAAAATATGAATTCAAACCCTCTATTATGGACTCCTTTTTATGCAACCCTNGCCTGAAACCCGGCGGCATCAACGCCGCCGGTCACCAAAATAACACCCTAGAACCCCCTGAACCTCCTCTATCCGAATATGTTAGCCGTTTGGCTCGAATCTTCCTGAAGGTTCTCGAATCTTCATTTGAAGATTCGAGCCAAACTTAGATCTAAACCAACCAGCCCCAAATTAACACCATGGCTTCCCCTAACTACCCTCGTTGTGGATCTGGTGTTGGTTTGTTTCGAATCGCCTCAGAACTCTTCGAATCTTCTTTTGAAGGTTCGAATCAAATCTGAACTCACTCAGATTCTTTCCAAACTAACACCAAACGACCCCTAGGCCTCCCTCACCCTTGTGTCATCTTTGGTTCCCTTCGAATCTGCCTAGAAGTGTTCGAATTTAGGATCCAAGAATCAGAAAACCCTAAAAATTTCAAAACATGGAATTTGCCTGAGTTAAATAGAAGATTGGGGTCTAATCGACCTTAGTCGAAGTATTTTCAGTTGAAAATACTTCGACTAAGGTCTGTTTGATTTCAAAAAAGGTCCGAATTCAAAGTCAAGTTCGAGTCCGTATGAAATTGAAGATTCAGAGGTATTTTCCTATTTTTCTTTTGTTTCCTACATATGTTGTTGCCTATTTTAGTTGTCTGTTTAATTTTTTTATTTGTTTAATTCCGTGATTCTGCCTCCTACCTATCTACTTGATCCGAATGTGAATTGTTTCTGTTGGTTGTGATTAATTACAATGTGTGTAATCGACTCGATTAAGTTCGTCGATTAGTTATATTATAGAATTCTGTTTCTGAAAATGCTGTTTGAAATAATCTGTTTATCAGTTGTTTGTCGACAATTGTTGTAAATAATCAGTTTGACTAATACTCGTTAATTAAATCAGCTTTGTTTGAAATTCAATAAGATGCTGTTGATTTCTTAGCATTAAGTTTCAGGCAGTATCAATATACTGACCATGCCCCTGCACTTATGCTAAATTCAATGTCAATTCAGATTTTTGTTCTATTAAGTTCTGTGTATTGTTAATACGTTTGTATACAAGTTCAGTGTTCAATCTGAATTTAGTTT